TGTGTGAGTGCAGGGGTGTGTGTGAGAGAGACTGCGTGTGTGCTGTGCATGTGTGCAGGGCTGTGTAGATGTGTGTGTGGGCAGGGCTGAGCATGGCTGGAGGCGGCAATAAGAGGTACCAGAGGGAAACAGTTTACACTCGGCTCCTACCACTCCCTGGAGCTGTCTAGGGGCTGGTGTTGCTGAGAACACCCTGGCACAGGCTTCCCCAGAGCTGCATCAGGGCTCCAGGAACGCCACTGGGGGATGCACTGGGGAGAAGAGCAGGACTGACCAGCTGTGGTTTTCTCCCTTCCATGCACATTATTTTTTTTTATAAGATGACCGGTAAGGGGATCTTAACCCTTGACTTGGTGTTGTCAGCACCACGCTCACCCAGTGAGCAAACCGGCCATCCCTATATGGGATCCGAACCCGTGGCCTTGGTGTTATCAGCACCGCACTCTCCCGAGTGAGCCACAGGCCGGCCCCTTCCATGCACATTAGAACCTGGGGAACCACCTCCCACAGCTGCTCCACAAGGGTCTGAAGGGGAAGCCGTGGCCTCACATGCTGCTTGGAGGGTGATAGCAAAGGGGAGAGAGATTGACTGTGGTCTGGTGGTGTCTGGGACTTATCTCCTTCTCTCTCCTTGAATAAGCCATAGGCTGGCATATTACCAAACAAAATGACGAATTCCACCAGGGGGCACAAGCTCACATATCTCAGGGGACAAGTATATTATCTGATGCAGAATTAGTGAACCACACAGATAGAGGATACACATCATAGAAAACAGAAGATATAAGAAAAGTTATTGGCAATATGAAATAGGAAATGACACAAAACAAAAAAAAGAAGAAATAGTAGATATATAAATAGTAATTCAAAAAACCATTACAGATGGGATGAATCCTGTTATGTGTACAACTGAAGGATGAAGTGGTGAGTGGAGAGATCAGCGGGGAGCTCTCTCTCAGGAAAGATAAACAAGAAAAAATATAAATGACAGTGAAGGAATAGGAGGATTAAATATAATGGCCATTATCCAGATACGCAGGTCCCAGAAGAAGAGAAAAGTAAAGATGGAGAGGAAGAAGTCTTGGAAGAAATAATGGAGATACATTTATCCAGATTAAAGAAAGATGACCGGGCTGGCCCGGTGGCGCACTGCTATAGTGCGGCGCTTGGGAAGCGCAGCGGCGCTCCTGCCGAGGGTTCGGATCCCACATACAGACCGGTTCCCGCTCACTGGCTGAGCGAGGGGTGGGTGCAGCACCGAGGGTTGCGATCCTGTTGCCGGTCCCGGTCCGGTACAGGAGCGACACTGAGGGTTGTGATCCATTGCCAGACACGAAAAAAGACAAAAAGAAAAAAAAAAAAGGAATGAGAATAACAAACTATAGAGAGAGTTTGTCAAACCAAGAGCACCAAACCTAGACAATGTGAGTGAAAATGAAGACTACCCAAGATGAAAGAAGAAAATAGTAAAAGCCCCCAGAGAGAAAGAACAGATTATTCATGAAAGAACGAGATTCTATTTGACATCAAATTTCTCAATAGAAACAGTGGATGCAGTAAATGATATAGCAATATTTTTTAAATTTTAAGGGAAAAAACATTGAATCTGGAATTTTAAATCCAGCCAAATTTGTATGTAAATGTGAGGGTGTAATAACAACATGCTCAGGCATACAAGGCTCAGAAGGTTTATCACATGAAGATTCACAATAAATATGCTTTGGGAGGAAGTGCTAGAATAAAAAGAGAAACCTAAAGGAGATGCCACAGGACATGTGGAAGCAAGGGCAACCAAATAACTCTGTAAAGTTTTTTATGGTCCTTTTAAAAAGCTATGACCAAGAAAAGAAAGAAGCTATATATCCATAATAATCCAGAATTAAATTTCTAGATAATATCAGCATTATGGGAGGAAAGGCAACTAAGATTCTTGGTATGGGGGAAGGCATAAATATTGCTAAGTTTATGTATTCCTCTTGATTTCCCAAACTTGCTGCTTTGCCTCACACAGGGTGATGGAGATGCAAAAAGGATTACTCAAAGCCCATTTCTTCTGAGCAGTGAGACATGCTGAAGGGGTTAAATTCCCAGAACCCTCAAGAGAGAGGCATTCCTCCTTGGGAAATTAACACCAAACTGGGGTTCTGTCTCAGTATTTATTCTCCAGGCCAGAAAGTTACAGAAAAGGAACATAGGTGGAGTTATGGCTAAGTATAGTTTAACAATAAAGGCTGGTAACATCAGTGAGATAACAAAGTGACATTCCATAATGCAGTTTGCAAAAGGTTAAGTCGATCCACCAACAAATGCTTCTTCTAAGGCTGGCCAGTGGCTCACTCACGAGAGTGCGGTGCTGATAACACCAAGGCCACGGGTTCAGATCCTATATAGGGATGGCTGGTTGGCTCACTGGCTGAGCGTGGTGCTGACAACACCAAGCCAAGGGTTGAGATCTCCTTACCGGTCATCTTTTTAAAAAGAAAAAAAAGCTTCTTCTTAGCAAACATTTTCTTTCCCTACAGCAATTTCCTTAGTATGTTTACATAACAATCAAGTAATGTTAATCAATGACATCTACCCTTTAAGCCAGCAATTTTGCTGTGTTACAATTCTATATCTACAACAGAGACTTTAGCCTGGGGGAGTTTCCTGTCTTTTGCAAGACAGGAAACATTGTAATTTTTTTTTTTTTTTTAAAGATGACCAGTAAGGGGATCTTAACCCTTGACTTGGTGTTGTCAGCACCATGCTCACCCAGTGAGCTAACCAGCCATCCCTATATGGGATCCGAACCCGGGGCCTTGGTGTTATCAGCACCACACTCTCCCAAGTGAGCCACGGGCCGGCCCAACATTGTAATTTTAAAAGGTTAGGTTATACCTGAAACTACAGAGCTTTGGAGACTAGGCCCTGTGAAATATATTTGCTTAATAAATGTTAGTATACTCCACATAAACTTATCAATATATCATTCCCCTGCCAAGTCTCTAGGTTAAGAGCAACTATCATAAGAACAAAATTAGAATGTATAACTTTTAAACTCACAGAAGAAAATTCAATCCATCCAACAGAAAGCAGGAAGTGTGTGTGTGGGGGGGTGGGAATCAAGGAAAATAAAATAATGCAGAAGACCAAATCCTAACACAACAGTTGTCGGGCCTCCCTGAGCCAGAGGCCGACAAAACCGAGCGGGAAGAGACCCCGGTCCAGCCGGGGGTCCCTTGTGGGGCTGAGCGGGATGATGAGTGTCGCTGGCACGGCCCTTCCCCCCCAGGACCTTCCCCCCCGGGGGCCGGGAAAGAACACAACCAAGCCAGGGGGGGGGC